TGTTTTATGGCTTTCCCTGAATCCTGATTGCATTGATGAAATTATTTCATTACTGAAAATATAGTCGGATATTTGTATCTTTATTTACCGTTCCGAAAGCGGGAAAGTAAACTGATTGGTCTAAGTTGAGTTACAGATGCGCGAATCGGTACTTTAGGAATAGGAATGGCGATATATGTACTATTTCCACGCGTCTGGGAAAAGGATGTTGCTATGGCGTGATTGATAATAAATGTAATGTGGTCTAAAAACAATGTAAAAACGTCATAATGCGTGATATTCCATCAACCCCTACTGCATTAGTTTCAATGAATGAGAAACTCCTTGCAACCGATTCTTTGGCAACCGTTAGAAATCAAAATGAGTTGGGAAACTGATTGTGTTGATATTTGTTCAGCAGTTCTAATTGCTTTTATGTCTTGGTTATGCCAGGGATATTTGTGAAATGTGAAATTATTACGTGTGAAGTTATCTGATAGATGACTTAATTATGCAAAGTTTCTTATGGGGACTCCATATTGCTTTACTGTTCCTTAACAAAAATAAATTGACATATAAATAATAAAAATATATAAATACATTGAATTGTGTAAATTGTAAATACATACTCCCTTCTTATCATGAGGACCCCTTTTGTGTTGTCACTTTGGATTTATTGTTAAATATCTCATTAAACAAATTACTTGCCAGCAAATAAAAAAAATCGTGACCCTCAAGTAAATCTCTACATTACACTGTATTTGGAGTTAAACTACTTGAGGAATCAATTTTTCAATGTCTTATTATAGCAATTTGAGTATTATTTTTGTATAGGGTTCATATTACCAAATCAGAAAAATAACTCCCGGCCGATTTCACCAACATTAATATTATGGACCAAGGGGAAAATACCTTATTGAAATGCAATTTGACAGGAGCTGTCAAAGGTCTCTGAATATTAGTGATTTCTATTGAAATATTGAATAAAATCGTGAAAATTCGACTGTATTATAAACAAGACCACTTTTTGATTCCAACATAATGCTTTTGTACAGAAAAAATAGTTCAACTTTCATGGATGTTGATATATGTTATAGGTTTACATTTAACAATCCGTTATCTCGCTCAGCGAATGGGAATGCGGCAAATAATAGGTCGATTTTCTAGCTGTTAAATTTGGCAGCAGATTTGGACGTCTGTTAATGCATGGCACTCTCGAATTTACCAACTTCAATATACTGAAAGTTATCATTACATACCTGTTGAATAGTGTGGATTTGTCTGTATTTTGCAAGAAAATAGAATATAAAATACATTCCATCCAATTCCTCATCTTCCTTTACGTCATAATAGTAATCATTTATTAATTTATGTGTTAATGAATTTCTTCAAAGCAATAAAAACATTATGTCCTCTCTATCCTAAAACACAGTAAGACGTGTCAATCCCTGCATCTCCCTAATGCATAATGCAATTACTATGGACAAAAAATTATGAAAAATGTTTCACAAATAATGTCTTAAGTCCAAAAATCAAAAAAACTAGTAATGTTTATTGTTTGTCTATTTTTCTTTTTTGACTGGCGGGGATATCTATCTGTCACTCGCAGGGTTGCCAAGTCTAACGACGATCACGTCCCGTGGTGGAGGGTGCAAAATGAATCTTTTACATTTGCTGGTTTTGAATTTTTTCGTGAAAATTTACTAGGTATCATGATTATAAGCATTTTTGGTAGATTGTTCGATCCGGAATGGGAAAGATCTCCTATTTATGAAAATATTTTTGGTATCATCTAACCGTTGCAATCAGTGCACAAACACTGTGACATACGATTTATAGCATAACCCGCTGCCCTATCAATACAAATTTAACATACAGGTCGCCTAGCCGTGGGGATGCAGTGGTCGGGATGAATATCACGGCAGCAACTGATGATTTGGGCATGTCTGGTAACAACGTATGAAGTGAAACTCGCTAACTTCACAAATTTGAAGATTTTGTACAATTTCTTTGAAAATGATGAAAGATATGTCTGATTTGGCAGGGTAATATCGCAGCCAAATGGCAGCCACTCTTCCTGACACAGACCGGATCGAAAGATGACGATACTCGTGAAATGTATTGATACTTCTAAATATAGTATCGTATCGAACATCCCTACTGTCAAGATGTATCGACGGAGCTATTTTGCAGCGTCATGGAAATAATTTTAAATTTTCATTTGCATTTTTTCAAGTGTTGTGCAATGATTTTGGGAAAAATGTCACGAATAGTCTTATAAAGCATAGTAGAGTATATTTCAACAGTTGTCGGAACTTACTCTACTGCGACCAGGAGGGTGAAACGGGATATTAATGCACAATCTGGAAACCCTGTCGCACCCTCACAAAATGGCCGCTGACAACCACACCGTGTTGTCATTGAATAGCATGAAATTAAACTTTCAGAGTATATATGTTTTGTGACTGGTACCAACAGTTGACAGATCCCACACATGTGTCACTCCTTGAAATGCAATAATCAGCTGTATTCAAATAATGTCTAATATAAATATCACCTAGAATATGTACTCGTGAAAAAAGAAAAATATGGCAAATTTGTAGTTTTTTTTTTGCAGGTTTTAGGTTTGCTGGTAGCTTTAAGGCATATATTTGGGAATTTCTTAATCGCTGTGAATATAGTGTGGATGTTTGTTCAGTTCCTGAACAACGAAAAATATTCAACTTTATGGATGTATGGATATCAAAAAACCTGAATGGTTTTGTGGGAATATCAATCTAAGGTGCCATAATGGTTCTAATTAAGTAAATGAATGAATGTTTGGAAACGGGCAATATCTTTTGGTAGAGCTTGTCATCAAGTAGGTGTTTAATGGCTATCTGCAAGAGGTTTATAGGAAAAAACACCCAGTATCACATATCAATTGAAGAAAATAATATAAACATGAATAAAAAATCAACAATAGTAATTAAAACATGAATTTAATTCAAAAATCAAACATTTCTTAAAATTCTGACTGAATTATATGTAATTTCTTAATATTCAATAAGCTGGTGATGTTTCAATGACAAGTTGTCATCTCATACGTTGACAGTATTTTATTTTCAACATTTCATAGCTATTGGTTGCTAAAATTTGTTGATTGGAACTTGAAGCTCATTCGCTGTATCTGACGGTCTGTTACCCTATAGGTGGTGAATAACGGACTGTTGTTGGTGAAATTGGCACTAAGTCGTACAACGTTCCACCAAATTATGAAACTTTGAGAGAGACTTGTATCAATATTTCCAAAACCTAGCAATACCTAATATCGCATGCGTTTACGTTCAATAATTGAGTATTTTCTTTCATCGGTACATCACTATAATAATACGAAACGTACGATGACCGAAGTTGCTCTACCTTTTTGCCGTAGTATACGTCTGATCACCATGCATCAAAAGAGATCGTTAAGTCCACGCATTACGTCGAATAATCAAATTGATCATAGTGGCTGCTAGCATCGATCGCCAACGTAGTATCTGGTTACCGTGTGACCTTGCTGGCTCATGATGTCTCAATCATCGCGTTTCGTGGAATACCAGCGGATAGCGGAAGAATGAAGAAGGATGGACCAACAGATGGCAAAAAGCAGCCGCCACTATGCCGCTGGCAGTGCCGCGCGGTGCGGTCTTCAGCGATGATAGTAATGGTGGTTGTTCACGAAGAATATGTTGCTTCGTCATGGTCACTATAAATTGGAATCGTATACAATTTTTTCTGGTAGCAAGGGCGTTAGGGTTCAGTGCCATAATAGTTGCGCGTGGTGTCAACCGACGCACTGTTTGTGGTGCTGGTATTCCGTCAATATTAGTTTGCTGGACGAAGTGAGATGTGCACTCTACAAAGAGTGCGCCAAAGTTGTAAGTGATGAAAAAGAGGTGCTTTTTGGCAGATGGCGGGAGACATGGGATGCAACTGGCCAATGTGCATGGATTAGAAGGTTGATCCCAGATATTAAATCTTTGATTGACAAGGAAGCGGTGCGGATATATTCACTATACTGCACAGTTCCTCACCGGACACGATTGCTTTGAAAGCTACCTGAAGAGGGAAGGAAAGAGAGAGTACGCGAACTGCGTATATTGCAACGAAGACGAGGATACTCCTAATCACCTACTCGAATCCAGACGGCTTGACTACCAGTGATAGCTAAAATTGACGTCGGCACCAACAGTGAGACGAATGACGCTGAACAAGTTGTATGAGGACCAAAATAGACCAAGGAACCAACAATAGGTTTCCACTTGACAGGGCAGGTACATAAGTACATATATTATGTATACAGGGTGTTCATTAGAAAGCTTCCCACCACGGATTTATCGAAAAAGAATTAAAAGAAAAACGCCTAGACACGTCAAAAGACTTGCCAAGGGGGTCAGCCTTTTAACCAAAAATTACTTCACCCCCTTTCACCCTCGGTACCCCAGGGTTATTCCTTAATAATTTTAAATGACAAGGGGTATCAAGTAATAGCTTGTTTGAAAGATCTTTCAAAGTCCTTCATGTTGACGTTTGGTTTTTTCAAAATCAGTCGATTCGTTTTTGAGAAAATTAGAAAAATCTTTATTTATCTTAATTAGTTCAGATAGAAAACAAAAACACGAAAATATCAATTTTACTTCAATAAGTGTTCAAAATGTTGCCCATTAGGGTTTGTTGTAATTGGTTTATAATTTAAAACGGAAACTACCAACATAAACAGCAATTCGGAATGACGTGTCTCAACGTTTTTCCTTTTAATCAGTGGTTTTCGATAAATCCGTGGTGGAAATGAAAATGAACACCCTGTATGCACGACCCTTAAAACTAGTCTACTAAATACCTTTTTTGGTGCTCATTTGGTCTCCAACGGAAGATAGTGCCTCGTGCTCATCATAAAATGAAGTCGTACAAATCACTGTTATTTCTGGCAAATTGTACCTCAAAGGTGTTGGAAGACAGTCTATGAGATCTACAAGTGAGTGTTTTAGTACAATTACTTGAAGTAACATAAGCCATGTCGGCCCCACAATGGGTATATTTGTGAAATGTGAAATTATTACGTCTGAAGTTATCTGATGGAGTATTGATAGATGACTTAATTATGCAAAGTTTCTTATGGTGACTCCATATTGCTTTACTGTTCTTTAACAAAAATAAATTGAAATATAAATAATAAAAATATATAAATACATTGAATTGTGTAAATTGTAAATACATACTCCCTTCTTATCATGAGGACCCATTTTGTGTTGTCACTTTGGATTTATTGTTAAATATCTCATTAAACAAATTACTTGCCACCAAATAAAAAAGAATCGTGACCCTCAAGTAAATCTCTACATTACACTGTATTTGGAGTTAAACTACTTGAGGAGTCTAGTCTACTAAATACCTTTTTTGGTGCTCATTTGGCATCCAACGGAAGATAGTGCCTCGTGCTAATCATAAAATGAAGTCGTACAAATCACTGTTACTTCTGACAAATTGTACCTCAAAGGTGTTGGAAGACAGTCTATGAGATCTACAAGTGAGTGTTTTAGCACAATTACTTGAAGTAACATAAGCCATGTCGGCCCCACAATCAGGATAAACAACATCCAAGACTTGGACATTTATTCTATCTCATTATAGAATTGACTTGAGTAATCTAAAAAGTTTTGTAAATGATATAACCAATTTTTTGATTCTTCATTTTTAGGCGCTCATAGGTACGAGTATAATCTTATACCTCAAACTTCTCTACGTTTACCAATGTCAGATCATTTTTAGGTCTAGCTAAAGAAATATTCCTACCTACAGAGCGCGTAGTTGTATACGTATATTGTATATCACCAATATAGATGTCAAGATGTATGACACTAATTTAATTTGTTACCGTCAAAAAGCATCTTATTTTATAATATCGGTAACTTCAGCTCTTGTCTGACATACAGACATAAAAACACAGTCGTTCCCGCAGTAACATTTTGAAAGTCACCTTTATGGATCGTAAAATATTGAGCGTTGCTGATTGGCACTCAGTATATTGGAAAACTGTCGGAATGTATCATTTCCATTTAAATTGAGTATAAGGAGGCGTGTGGGCAACAAATTCGGATTTACTTTGTATAAACGAACGGAAATATCAATTGACTCAAATGAAAAAAAGGGCGTCAACTAGGTTGACTCTACACTTCCCATGCAACGCCGTCATCAGTTTACTCTGGTAAGATTCATGCGCAACCATCCCTTAATTTTGCACCCCTAAATAAATTTTCAGAAATGATCAGGATCCTCTGAAACGTCAAAAATAAATATATTTTTTTTTCCTTTTTGGCCTTTTTGTCCGTTGCCACTAAACCGATTTTCAAAAAATGCAAAGCTTTTTCGTCTTTGGCATAGTAGTAACCATGTGTGAGAATTTCATCAAAATCCGACCTTCTATCGGGGTCAAGGATTAGCGGACAGACAGCCTGACGGAAACGAGTGACATGGTGTACATATCATATATCCGAAACACATTTCTCATTTTCGAATTTTTCTCAATTATAATTCTTTTTCTCCCAGTGGCGTAGGAAGTAAAAATTGCATAGTCATTATATTCCAGGACCATGGGTTAAACTCACTCATGGTTGAGAGAACCCATTCATATTTTGTATATACCAGCTAACAGAAAATGTATTACTTCAATACATTATTTCAAAAATACCCGAACAGATAAATTACTCCCAGAGAATTTCCTATAGACTAACTGTTTATTCTAACAAATTGTGTACAACACTATCATTCTTCCTCATTTGTTATATTGTTCGGCTATTTGTTCACTGGATTTTCAAAATTACATATACCTATTACTAAATAAAGCTATGAGAATCATCCTAAATAAAAATAAATATACTACGAGTATAATAAATTTTATGCTGACAGAACTACAGTGGTTGAATATGTGCATATTCAAGTTAAAAAATCATGTTCTATCAAATCATTTAGAAAATTATATTGAAGTGAACAGTGGGTACCATAGTTATTCTACTAGAGGAAGTATAAACTTTCATTTACAAAATTGTATTTCAGAAAGGACTGTACGTATTTAATAAATTAAGTAAAGATATCAAGATGTGTGCCAGATGGAAAATGTTCAAAGGGAAATTGAAAAAGAATTTTATGGAAAACCGAGAATACATAGTAGTGAAATACTGTATGAAAATATGAAGGCTTGAAAACATAAAATATTATGTAATACACCTATATTGTGTCATAATGATATTGTAACATTAATGCTAAATAAATCAAAAACAAACAAATTCCAATTTAATACGCTTACTTTTAGCAAAAGCTTGGATCCCTGTGACCCCATTTATTGTGTCCAATATGTTATGTTCAACTAACATGAATCTAAAACCGTATAATTCAAATTCACGCTTTTGGAGAAAGTGCCTGTGTTCCAAGTATAAGGGACAGTGAATCAAACGCATACTTTTATTTTGTAGTGTAGATAATTACTGTCAACTTTATTTTTGCGTTTTTGATTAAATAATTTGTTGATTAGTTTAATTTCACCATACTGCTGCTAATGTTTGAATAATTGTTTATACTTTTTCGAACCTGAGTTCTTGTTTGTTTGTTTCTTGAATATTATTTGTTTGAGATAAATAGTACACTGATTGAGAATTTTGCGCCCCCGATGAGGCCGCTGCCTTATTAGTTTACCGAATGCCAGTTCCACATGATTTTGGCGTAAGTCTAGATTTTAAAAATTACTTCAGTGTCCAAGGCGTTCCCTCGATTTTTAGTGTAATAAATCAGGAATTCAGTAAGGTTGTAAACTCCGCCTCTGTCAAGATCAACCAGTGATACCAGTACTTCGCTGATATGTACTTGATAAAGAAACCTTGATTTTCACACACACACACACGAGGTCTCACTTTCCTTTCTTCAAGGATAATGACATCCTGTGCATATTATCTTAGTTATAAATCTTGAAGTTGCTGAAAGACGTGTTAGCACTACGTTTATTCAAGATGCTAGGCACTGTTGTAAGATTATTTTAACAAGCAGCATAGATTTTTTAGTGTATCTGAACAGGTCGGACTTTATTGTCCGACATTGATGGGCATAATATTATTCAATACGGTCGATAAAATCAAGATTTCGACATTCCGGACAACAGCAGTCTAAGCATCTTCATACGATCTTATCAAATCTTTATTGACGGCGTCCTAAAAAGTTACAGAGAAAGTTTTAATCAAATGTTAGTTTCCATACAATAAATGATATTTAAATAAAGGATTCGAGGTTCTTCACTCACTGACGTAGGAAAAGTATGTATATATTTTAAATTTGCGCCCATTCCAAGTCATCAAACTACTTCAAAAATGTTCAAAATCTATTAATTATACATGTATGAGATTAGGGCTGTATGTGACAATTTGACTCTCAGAAGCATGACAAAGGAGAATGTTAAAAACAGCCATTTTTCGGTCCCCTCTCGGAACCAGCGCAACCGAGTGAAAACTATTATTTATGATTACAAGTAGTCAAAAATACTTATTTGAAACTTGAAAAGTGCGGAGAAATTTAGTGCGTCTTCCCTGAAGTATACTGATCACTCCCTGTCAAATAATAAAGTATTTAATCAATAATTCTGCAAAGGATAATTGATAACTCTAGAATATCTAACAAAAAGTATAAAAAAATACGTTTTCACATTTTCCAAAGATACGAGTTACCAGAAAAATACCCACGAACGAACCCAACTAGATTTAACACTAGTGAAAAATACTCGAAACGTGCGAGGAATTATTACACTAATCACCCCATATTGAATAATACTCAAATGCATGCATGTAAATGCTGATAATAGAAAGACAAATGAGAAATTATATGATAACTAATATTTATTGAAGTCAGTGAATACAAAAATATCGGATAGATACTAAAACTACCTCGAATATGGGGTAAAAAGTATGTGAAAAATATGCCTTCACGTGTTTCTATGACGTCATAATCCAAATAGTATCATCGCATTTTTCTTGTCTTTCTATAATAGACCTAACGCAGCTCAAAATTTTTCGTCATTAGATATAAAAAATAATTATAATATAAGGATAATTCGAGCGCCCAAACTAAAATATTTAAGGATGACAATTGATGACCACCTCAAATAGCATGACCAAATCGAATATCTCATATAAGGTCAGTAATACCAAAACTCTCCAGAGATTTTTTATGTACACAATTAGTACAATTATTATTAAATTCCGGCATTGTTCGATCGGGGGGATACTGCCTACATCAATGAAAAAACCTAAGCTTGCACAAAAATGGACTCGAATGGACTTCGAAGTTGAGTCATTTATTTTAACAGTGAGTACCTAGATCTGATCAAAAGAAATGTTTTTTTCCTTTACCATTTTTCTGGTAAAATTAAAATAACAAAGTTATAGCCCTTTGGAAGTTTGAGTACCGCCCTGTCTCAATAATAATATTATGTGCTCGTGTTTGGCGACAACGGATATAATCCGCCTTATCGGTTCATCGCATCGGTAACAAAAAAGCGAAAGAATTTGGAACGATGTTTTTACAATTATTTCATTCAGTTGTATACAGTGAGTGTCAGTCGGTAGTGAATAGTGGTGTAACTGTTGCGTGGCTCAAACGAAATAAAAAATGGCACATGTTTATGCGGATCGGTTTCCCAATCGAGTGCAACCAACCCCTCGTGCCTTTGTTAATGTAGTACGACGGGTGCGTGAATCAGGTGACTTAAGACCTCACATATGGACGGCATGCCGGTGCTCCAAGACCTCACGATCAAATACAGGTCCGCACTGAAATACTTGTCGGGAGGATACTTTATAAACCAAGGTAAAATTTGTTTTTTATTTTTTTTTTATTTTTACACACATATTTTGGTTTATCTTCCTTCTACAATCATTATCTGAAAATTAATGACTCAACTTCAAAGTCACCCTGTATATTATTATTATTTATTATTTTAGGTGGCAACATTGTGTACCCAACTGGAAAACTGTATTAAGATTCTAGTGTTTTCAGCCAACTGTTATATTATATATATCAAACGTGCGCTAAGTGAGACCAAAAAATAATCATGTGATAATATGCAAAATACTCTCAGTCCAGACCAGAAGTGTGAATAAGCA